GTCCCATGCAGACATTGCCTCTATATTATGTACATGTGTATATAATTCAAATTTATAAAAAATATAAGATAAAAATATATTTAAAAGTTCGTTTTGTAACTTGATATTATCATACCTCTAATTAAAGATGTAATACCAAGACGATTAACAAAAATATTATCTTTTTGATCAGAATTTGTAAATAGTTCTGCCACTACATACAAATCAGGACGAATTTGGCGAGCAACGTCTAACATGTACTACGAAAAAATGTAATGTTATATAATCAGTAAATTTGATCCAGCTTTTCAAGAAATTATAGGTCAAAACAAAATATTAACATACCTCAGCAACAGGAATAGGTGTAGAATGGCAATTGTCAAGACGTATACCATCAAAAATCTTAGCAGTTTGCTCAACATATTTTGTCATATGATCCCACAGAAAAGGACAATCTTCTGGTTTTTCGCCATATCTGAAATAATAATTGAAATTTAAATATTAATAACAAATCATTAATAACGTAACTATTAGTGTGGTAACTCCATTACCTTAATTTCACACTATCACCCCATGCAATAAGTTCTCTTCGAATATAAACATTAGAATCAGGATCAGCAAAATTTTTCAAAGGATCACCATTCATGACCCATCCATTATGAACCATCAGATAACAACCAGCCTCTGAATACATTGTTGCTTCTCTCTCAACTAATGATTTAGGAGCTCCATAATCAGTAAAATATCTATAAGTTAAATTTATAAAAACTTATGAGACACATAGAGTGTTTCATTTCATTTATATTTATTTTATTATAGTTCTTTTTTACCGAGGTACAAGCGGATTTCTTTCACTGATTTCCTTAAGTCTGGGTCCATCTGCTTGCACTCTAAAATATCGTATGCCTGAAATTGTATTTTCAACAGCCGCATTCAAATGATTTTGAACTTCATTTATAATTATATCATTAAGTTCTTGTAATTTTTTTCTAAGATCTTCTGCACAACGTTTCAAACGAGTTTCTTCATCAAAACAATCAGCCCTATATAATATAAAATAACAAATTTGTTTCTTGAATAATTAAATAATATTAGTTTAAATATTAATAAGGATATATTAAAAAATACAATTATTACCTATATGTATTATATTTTTGAAGAGCAAGTGACATGTCTATGGTTGCTTTTAATCTACGATATTTGGGATCTCTTATTATTACAATGTCTTTTGTTGGTACTTCATTAACTTCTTGAGGGATTTGAGTTCGTGCTAAATTTAAAAATTCTGCTATTGTCTCATTAATATCCAATATATACAATTCATGAATTTTTACAAGTGGTAAGAAATATGTCTGCATAGCATGACGAATAGACTGAAAATTAAAGAAATAAATAAAATTTCTTCTTTAGATATAGTCAAATTTGTTAAAGTTATTTCATCATTAAATATTAAATATTAATCATGTAATATTAATGAATATATGCAACTTACATTTAAATGGTCTTCAGTTTCAACTACACTAGGAATACCTTTAAATTCCCACTCTCCAGAAGCAACCTGAATTGTTAATTCAAATAAAGCAGCGTCTAAAATATATGCAGGACGTAAGTGAGGACTGTTGAGACAGTTGTATGTGCATTCTGGGTGAGAGACTAAGAAAGGACTTTCATTTGCGGTATGGTTTAAAACAATATCACATATACTTAACATCTATAATATAGAATTGTACAAAATTAATCAAAATGATAGATAAAAATATAATTCCATATTAGATATTCTCTTGCATTATACATATTACTTACTTTCCATTCATTACGAATTTTATTTATAAATTCATCAACATCGTCGAATGTAATTGCTTCATCTCCGTCATTAAAGAGTGGATTTAATTTTAATTGGTCACTTAAACTGTAAGATGATTTAGAAAATCCTAGTTCCTAAAACATAAATATTTTTATGGATATTGTATAGTCCGAACAAGATTTAATAAAATATATTAATTACCTGAATAGGCGTAAAATGTATAACATTGTATCCAGAATTGCGTGCTACTAGTAATTTACTTTCCCAAGTGGAAAAAGGTCCTAAACTTTTTGCTAACACAGTTTGACATTGAATACAATCTAATGGTAATGATTCTCCGCGTTCTCCTACTTTTAATTCAGGATCCACCATTAAATATCCAGAAGCAATGGCTTTTATTTTTGATTCGGAACTATAAACAATTTCATATTAAATTGAAGTTATGAAATGATCATTCATATAAATAACGTCTTACCCAGAATCCATAACGTAATAATGAAAGGAACCAGGTAAAGTTAAAAGTAAATTAGCAGAATCATTTATCCAAGGTAATTGATAATATGTGTGCCTTTCAAATTTCTGATCATTTGATAATGGATGATTAGTAAAAACATCAAGCGTCTTTCCAAGAAGGGAAGCTCCAAGTTTGAATTCAACTTTCCATCCTAAATAAAAATTGATTGGTTTCAATTATAATATAAAAAATAAAATAAGATTGTTTCACAATTATATTAAATATATACCTTTTTTAAGTCTGTATAAAATTCCATCAAGATGTTCTCCTTTATTTAGAGTCAAGACTCTTACTTGCTGAGAGTCCTGGTTCTCTGTAGACGGACCACGCTCAACCATATTGTTATTTACTGCCTAAAAATAGTAATAAATCTCATATAAAATAACTAAAGTTATTTGTTAAGTAAATAAATGATTATTTGATGTAACGAAGCTCTTCACTAATATTAGATTTTCATATTTTTTTTTTTTTGCACACATTATTACACTATTTTACATTATAACACCGCACGAATATTGACTGCTATACAAATTTACTTCTATCAAATATAAATTTGTATTTTTCAAAGTATAATAGAAAATAAATTAAGGAACACAATTATAAAAATATTTTATATATGTATATATACATATATACAAAATTTAGTGTTCTTCCATAAAGTGTATTTAAAAATAAAATATTTATCTGGAGGATTAGTACTTACAAAGTAAACGAAGTAAATAGACAAGCATTTTGCTAACATGAGCCTTAATATAAGTTATTGGCACAAAGAAGTTACATAGCGTGCAAAACGCATGGTATTACATTACACAGTTCTGCTGCATGAACATACATAAAGCTTAAAGCTATTCTTACTCTACGTACTTGGATTACAACTTTATGATCTAGTGGATGGATGAGGAGAAATACTTCCTGCCATAAGATTTGTTAGTTTTTAAAGTAACAATTACGCTTAGAAAGATTGCTGTTATTAAAATCGTAACAATAATTCTATACCAAATATAAAAGGATTTTTGATAAATATTTATGACATTTGTATGTACACATATTATATCAAATATATCAGAACTTACACAAGACCAAAGAAACTTCAAACAGTTGCATTTATATAGATGTTGTAAAAATTTCATAAATTTCATTATTGTTTTTCCAAAAAAATGCTTTATTTTAACCATTGATTCCATTGTTAAAAATAATTTGATTATTTAATTTAGAATTATAGCTTTATATAAAATCTGTATACAAATGAGTCTTTATTAACCAGCTGCAATGTTGTTTTTATTATGCTTTAGAATAGTAGAAGATGACACATAGTATTACCTATAACAAATATGTGTAGTAATCATCTATAATTTAATATAGTCGTATACAGAATATCTGTAAATCGAATAAAAAATACAAACTTACATCAAAAAGAATACAAAACAAAATAGATAAATTGTAAACATATTTTTATTTACATGTTTACTTCTTATACAAATAAAAATAAGAAACATGTATATAATAGTAAATTAATAAATATAATATTGATAAACATTGTTAATAAATTATAATTTATATATTTGTTATAACAATTCTTATGTGATAACAAATATAATTAGATTATTAAAATAAAAATACAAAAATATATATATAATAAAAAAAGGTATTTAAATATTGTATATATTATATATAAATGAATAATTTATTCTTTATGAAAAATTTATTTTTATACTTTCATTTTAATATGACGTGTGCTTTTGTTTTATTCTACAATATTATGAAATCATTTGAATAACAGTAAATATTATTTGTAATAATTAATACTTACCGTACCGGACACGAATCAATCGATTTATTTTACTTTTAAAATATAAAAATTGTTAAAAAAGATATATATAATATTTTTTCTTTTTTACTATTAATTTAAATCTAATTGTTACAATTACTTGTTATGCTCTACAAGAATATAACAGAGTAACAGCAACAAGTGATTAAAGATCTATACTTAATAAACATATATATGTACCATTTTTAAATACAATACATGTACTCACACATATATTCGGATTAGTATTTTTATGTCTTAACAAGATAATTTTATTTAAGTGATACGATTTTCATATCAGCTGAGAATATCACTAAACTACATTTAAAACGAAACAAACAACCAAACTAGCACAAGGTCGATCATGAAATTAATGTCATTTAAAAATATAGAAAAAACATAAATAAACAAGCATAATAATGTTAATTGATGTAACTTATAGCTAACGATAATACATACAATTCACCTGATCATTAATTATTTACTCCTGAATATAAAAGACTTAATGTGACCTCTACTTTGCCAAACAGATCTTGAAGGTCATCAAATAGAAACGTGGTTCATCTTAAAAATACAAATCTAGCAGACGACAGGACTTAATACAAAAAATTCGGCTTTTTTCATTGGTTGTTATATCGCGGCAAATTTACGCGACCAAATTTAAAATTTGTATTATTGTGTTATTTTACATTTCAATATTTACGTACAATTATTAAACGTAATTTTAAAGAAAAATATTTATTTGTTCATAAAAATAAGTAAAAAATATTCAATATATATTCATTTACTTATAAACATGCAAGAATTCAAATGTATTTAATGTACATGTAATATTAATTATAAGATAAATTTTTATATAAAATATAATAGTGTATAAGAGGCACATAATATCGATATTTAAATAAATATCAAAGTAGATGATATTGACAACTTCAAAGAAATGTCACAATGTGGCGGTAATTTTTAATTTAACCTTTGTCAAGGAGAATTTGAATGAGGATAATTAAGCAAAAAATATTACATGGAAATTGTACATTTGCATATATTATTTGTTGTTTATTTTATTTTTATAATGTTCACTGCAGAATATTATGCTCAAACTGAAAGAAATGAGGATAATTATTATTACCTGGATCCTGATTATGAATATTCTCAATTAAACAATACTACTGAATGTGAAGAAGAAACTAGTTCTTCTTTTACAACAAAAATAATTACACATACAAGTAAAATGATATTTAATTTATTAATAGAATTGTTTTGTTTGATAACCTAAAATCTACTTATTATACATTAGCGTCAGATCAAAAAATTAAGTGTGATGAAGATCAGATATTATTTTATCTTGCTAAATTACAAGTTATCAATCCAGAAAGTATATTATTAATTGCTGCATATAAGGACATTGAACATCTTTGTAGGTTTGTAGGTACATGTGATCTTAATGAAATTAGAAATTTTGTTAAATAGAGAATAATACATAATATATTTATTTTTATTAAAGGAAAATAGTTGAAAATCTTGATTCAATTGATAATGTAATGCAAACGTGTATACCTTTGCCAGAAGATCACTTATACATGCAACTTATAGCAGGATTAAGAGTACTCAGCAATAAACTTTGTGTATATGCAAATTATCAATCTGGTAATTTATTTAAAAAACGTACTAATAAATAAAAAAATATATTGATTATTATAAGAATAATGAATAAATTTAAATGAAATAGTATTTAGAAAATATATGAAATGTTATCAAGAACTCCATGATGAATATTTAGACTGTGTAGGACCAACAGATTGGACAGAGAATATGGAAATTCATGAATTGTGCGAGTATGTGCATAAATAATTTGTGTTTATATATAATATTTTATTTTACATGTGAATATCTTCATTTTTTCTCAGCCAATTCAAAGCAATATCTGATTGTTATTATACATTAACTGCTGTGTTATGTGGAATCGAAGCAGCAAAAATTCTCAAGGAACTTGTTGTACAAGTTATAACTGCTGTTATTTGGGTAAAAATATATTTAAATATAAATTATAAATCTAAAATATTATTTCTTTAAGGAGGTTTGAACCTTTAATGAAATTTTAATTTTTTTTTTCAGACTGATTGTCCAAATGTACACATAGATCCAGTTGTTTTAGATCCTATGCCAGATATAAATTCCAAGTCATTTTGTAATACCTCTATGAATTTTATTATTGTAATAATACTTATAAATATACTATAAATTACGATATTACTTTCGATATAATTAAAACGTACGAGTTTATATTTTTAATTAGAAAAAGACTAATTTCATATATTATTACAAAAATATAAAAAAGAAATCAAAGTATAAAATAGATTTTTTTTCTTACATTATTTTTTTTTATTAACATTATCTTTAATAATTGTTAAGAAAAAAAAATTAAGACTTAAAAAGTAAAAGTCAAAATTGTTGATTAACCTCAATTTAGAAGTATATTTAACGTTATTAAATGATAAGCGTTACTTAAATAGAAAAATAAATAATTTACGAAAAAAATCAAACAAGGAAATAATATAACTATAACTATGATGACTACATAACTGCGTTGTTAGGAATGACGTTCTATATTTATATTTTTATATTTTAGAAAATTTTCGTAAGATTTCAGTACATCGAATTGATCAAACGAATAAACGGAAATAAGACTTAAATTTGTTATTATATTTTACATTATAAAAGAAAATAACTCAATTTGCATATGTCCGATCAATGTCCATTGGCAGGTGATTCGACATAAAGCGATTAATTGCAAAATTCAGCGACATTTCTCGTTTCTCGATGTCATTCGCTTTCTCTCATACACTATTTCAAAATGGCAGCAGGAACAGACGAGCTGAGTGAGTAGTCCCGAAAAAAATAAGTTTTTATTCGGTGTATAAGGAATTAATTTGATTTAGTTCCTTATCATTTCGGAAGTCATACATTGAGTTATTTAATTGGACAACTATAATAAGCGAAATTAGTATTTTAAAGTATTTTTTAAGGTGAAAAAGAAAGTCAATTGTCATGCCGCCCTGTAAAACGACAACTTCAAACCTATCATTTTTCGTGAAGGTTCAGTTCAATAGTTTCTCAATTCACATCTCTCCCTCTCCTTACCCTTGTCAGCTGCTACATCTTCATTCCAGCACGTGCTTACTTGATTGTCAAACAAATCAATTTTTAATACAATGTTTATCTAGGATTTTATTTATTATTTTCACATTTTAATATCTGAGACAATTTACATTATTTTATACCGTTATAAATATATAATTAAATTAAATTTTTTTTTCTTATTGATTTCATATATGGTAATTATTTAACTTGTTATACATTATATATCAAATTATTTTATTTTAAAGCTCAATATAAGAGAATTTTTTAATTTATTTGAAATATATATATATATATATATATATATATATATATCTAATTTTGAGTCATATAAATTATCAAATGGATAATGTCAATTCATGTCACACACACACAACTGAGTTTTCATAAAGTTTAACAAAATATTTATGTATTTATCAAGCAAATATTTTCTGTAATTAATTATTTAATTAATATTGTTCGATTACAGTTTTGCTTGAAAGAGTTTTCCTTCGGCTGGGGTCAGCTGATACAGATGAACAATTACAAGCATCTGTTTGTAAATTTTTACCACCAGTATTGCTCAAGTTGTCCAGTGCACAGGAAGGTGTTAGGAAAAAAGTGATGGAATTATTAATTCATATTAATCGAAGGGTAAAAACTAGACCTCAAGTGCAGTTACCAGTTAAAGCATTATTGCTGCAGTATCAGGATCCAGCTGCTAGTTCATTTGTAATTGTATGTTACTTTTATTAATATGTGTACTTTTTAATAACAAAGTAATAATGTATGTAATATAATATTACAAGTACAATATTATTTTCAGAATTTTACAATTATATATATAAAATTAGGATATCCACGTATGGAAATGAAAAAACAAGCAGAATTAATCCCTAGTGTACTAAATGCTATTGATGGAAAGCCTTTATCTCATCAAGATAGGTTTGTAAATATTTAATTGCTAATTGATATGATAGATAAAATAATGTACATTGTTTCATTATATATATATGTATAATTTTTTTTAGTTTAATGCTAATAATAATGCCAGCCTTGGGACATATTAGTATCCCTGCTGACCCTGATAAGCGAGTATCTTTACTTGGTTTACAAGATAAGCCTTATGTATCAAAACAATTAATCAACTTTATGCTTGATGTACTATTGCTACCTTATGGGTAAGCAGGATTACTGTACTTTGATTAATTTAATTATAATACATTTGTTTATTACAAGCAACTTGTTTATAATATTAGATCGGTAGGACAAAGTGATAATCAGCAATCGAATCGAACTGTTGATTGGCCTCAATTTCCTGTTCCACCTGGATTAAGTGAATATGCATTCAAGAGAGTTATAGGTGAACATCCACCTACAGCAGAACAGCTGGAACAAACTAAATTGGGAATTGTTAAATTCATTTCTAGTGGATTTTTCCCTGACTCAGATATTTTTATACATTTGGTTGTTGCAGCTGCAGATACTAGATTTAGTGTTGCTAATATGGCAGATTTAGAACTGAAAAAAATTGTGAGGTATATATTCAAAATTCGATATAATTATAATGTTTTATTTTATGTTTGTTTCAGTATTTGGATATGTATGTTTCAGTTCTTTAGATTGGTCATCAATGCAAATAGCTGCACCACTTTATACATTATTCTTAGGGACTGATGGTTTAGCAACGCAAAAAGAAATTAAACCTGAAATGAAACGATTACCTGCCAGCACTCGTATTCGACTCAAAGTTTTACATTATCTTTGTCGATTAACTAAGTCTGGTTTTATTATACCTTCATGTATTCAGGTACATTATAAGTAGTTGTATTTTTAATATACAATTTGAAATCTTATAATATTAATAATATGATATTTATATTAAATTACAGGTTGTATTTGATTCTTTATATGGAAAAAATACGAATTCTAAGTTGAAATCATTAGCACTTCGCTTTACATCTAATATTGTTCAACAGTAAGTTTATTCTTTTAATTTGAGAATGTAATTTATTTATTTAAACATGATGTATATATAGTTATGTTTATTCGTTTTTCAAGATGTAGTCTTACACCATTAGTTCGCGTAGCAGGAGTAATATTAAATGGTATGATAAAATTAATCTCTGAAGGTGAAGAAATTCATAAACCTATGGCATATACAGTTATCGGACAATTAGGCCAAAGAATACCTTCTCTAATCAATAAAGATTTGAGTTTGTTACAAAATCTTTTTGATACCTTGACATCGGTAAGCATTAATTGAATACTTTCTTTTTAAAAATATTAAAAAATTTTTAAACATTTATTCATCATAATATTTTCTTTTTCAAATTTAAGACTGACGGAGATTTACGAAGAACTGTGCGAGATGCGTTAATATCTGTAACATCTGCATTTGTTCTTAATAAAGAAGATAAAAGTAACATAACTTTGATGAATGCTTTATTGTCAGCTCATATAGAATCACCAGAATCAAGTGTAAGGTGTGTATATATCCAACTATCAATATAGATATTATACATAATCAATAGATAAATAATTTATTATTATTTATATATAATATATAGGTTTGTGGCTATGCATTATGCTGCAACTGTGTTTCCTCCTGATGATGCTCCATCACGATACCTACTACTTTTGTTATGTGGTGATAACAAACATGAAATAAGCACAGAAGCTGTAAAAGCTTTATATAGTGGTTTACATAAAACTGATGGCGATAGTCATGATAAAAAGGATATTAAACAAATAGTTCTACCAGATTTTTCAGATCTTGTATCTTATATACATTCAAAAATGCAAATAAGAATGTCTATGCCAAACGGCGGAAAAATTAATGTAGGAAGTAAAACACTTCCATTTAATATTGCTACTTTTTCTGAGGTACATTCTTTTATATTCGAATAATAATATAAAGCAAAGTATTATTACTTTTATATATATATATATATGTATGTATTTTTACAGATAATTAATTATCTACGAGTTTGTCTGGCAAAAAGTGCTAATATACCGAAATATAATGAGCCATTGCAGCATCCATGCGAATATACTCCGTTGATTGGACGTTATTTACAAAATTTGTACGAAACTCAACCAGGGGCATTAAATTATTATCTTGATATGATTTTACTCCTCACTCATGCTTCTGCAGGTAATATTTCAAAGAATTGATATATATGTATTAATACATAATAGATATTTGAAACATTATTTTATTGATATTTTTTGCAGATTCAACCTCTTTGCAAGCATTATTAGAAATTGTTGGTTGTATCCCGAATTATATGAGAGAAATTTATGAAAAAGAATTACCATGGCTTCGTACCTTACTTACATCCACAAAACCTGATGTGAGATATTTGGTTGCTAAAGTCTACGGTGTTATAACTTCTAATTTTTCTTCTGTCGATTTCGAAAAACATATTTCGGAGGTTATAGATATGACAAAGAAAAAACACGTTGAATCACAGCATGGTTCATTACTGGCTTTAACTTTTATGATGGAGAGGAATTTAATAATTAAACGAAACGAAAATAGAGATGAATTACTAAACTGGGAGATGTATATTTGTGTTATTAAAATTATATGTACGTTTGTATATATATAGCAAATGAATTGTTAACAACTTATTTTATAAATTATATATTTATATATTTAGGTAAATTTCTTCATGAAAGTACAACATTACTTATGGATGCTGCAGTTGAGGCTATTGGTATTGTAGGAAAAACATTTCCTTTACCATTACCTGCAGAAGGAAATGATGACTTAAATAAAAAAGCAATTACGGAAACACTCTTTTCTATAGTAAACGATGTAAAAATAAAGACTAAGGTTTGTTTTATTATTTTAGGAAAATATGGATATTTATTGTTTTTTTTTTTGTATTTAAAATAATTCTCTTTCAGGTAAAGGAAAAAGCAGTAATCTCTTTAGGATACATATGTGTTGCAGAGGATTTTCCACATACTACATACATAATAGATAAAATAATTACAATGGCTAAAGAAGTGAGTATTTTTTTCTATTTATAATACTTCTTTTAAATATGTTATTTATATTATGTAATAATATTTTCATTTATAGACCAAGGATATAGAAATTCATTTAATTATGGGCGAAGCTTTAGTATGTTGCGTTC